TGTTCACCGAGCGCCCTGTGTTGTAGTTGCACTCCAGCGTGTAGCTGTGAAGCACAAGGAAGCCCACGTTACCCGACGGATCCACACCTGCCCGAGACAGGAGCACTACTGCTGCGACGACACCAAGCAAGCAGAGCTGGGGTCCCCCCTCAGCCCCGGGAGGGGAGGCTCCGGGGGGGAGTCTGGAGAGAAGACGTGGCTCCTGCCCGTGACGCGCCGGCGAGCCGCAGCTCTTGCTGCGACCTGCTTCATGTGCGCTGCATTTTTTCATCTGCTGAGATAGGAATAAGGGAGGTAAAAAAAGCAGCAGTTGGCCGTCAGGTGGAAGCCAGAAGCATGCTGAGGACAGGAGAGGCACCCGTGACACAGCACCCAAGGAACCGGACTCTGAAATCAATGTCCCCAGCCATGGGGGAGCTGGAGAGCAGGAGCAGGAGTGGCCAGTGATCACTGAGCTCCCACCTCTTATCTTAAATCAACAGTCAGGGCACCCACAGCAGTTAGGGACACCTCAACTGCTTTTCAGGGTGAAGCAACTACCAAAAGATGTTCTCTGGTTATCGTAAAAGGGTCTGCAGTCATCCCTGGTGAGTTCACGCTAAGGACAGGGTGAGAGATTCAGAAAGGGCACAGGAGGACGGATGGCATGTCGTTCCGCAGGAGCCAAGCCTCGCATTGTACTGATTTTCTGGCAATGAGACACCGGACCACCGACGTGGCACAGACTGTGGGAGGCTTCAGGGAAACGCAAGAGAGCCGCAGAGCCATCTCCTTGTCTCTCCACGTCCAGGGGAAAGCCAGCAAGGAGTCACTGGGATGGAGCTGTGGGTGCGACACCAAAGGTCTGCACTGGTGAGCCCCACGCGGAGAAGCCGCCCGGCGTGCCGCCGGCAGAGCCAGGCGTGTGCAGGGGGCAGGAGACCAGTGGCGGAGGAGGGGAGGGAGGTGAGGGCTCGGACGTGCTGTGCAGCCAACGCGCGGAGCCGAGGCGCTTGCAAAAGCACATATGGCCAGGATGCGTATCCTGATAGTTTGCAAACTGATAGGCAGGAGCGTAGGTAACGAGCAAGGGGAACTGGGAACTCTCACTGAGGAAACTCAATAAAACTGGGAAAGCCGAAGCCTGGTGGGAAGATCGGTGTGAGGGAGGTGTTAAACAGCCCAGCAGCAGGGGCATCCTGCTGGGGGAAGGCCTGCCGCACAGCCCGCTGACGGAAGAAACTCGCCTTCACCTGCCACGGCGTGCCGGCGCTGTCCTGGCACCCACAGGGCTAACCACCACGGCAGTCCCTCCAGCAGCATGAGGCCAAGTGAACACACAGCTCGGTGGGCTGCAGAAGGCAGAGGGGATCACCCCTTCCCTGTGTGCCCCCCCCAGCTGCCGAGGAGCTGGAGAAGGGGCCCTGGATCACCCCTCTCCAGAGGGTCCTGTAGCCCGGCCCCCGCCTGCTCCATGCCCCAGCAGCTCTTGCCGGCACTGGCAGAGCAGGGAGGGAGGGGGGACCGACAGACCGACGGACGGACGGACAGCCTGCCCTGGCTGTCTGGGCAAGGTGCCACGCGGGGAAGAAGGCCGCAGCTCAGCTCAGCGGGGCAGAGCAAGGCTGAGCCTAGTCAAACCGAAATGGCCAAAGATCGGTGCCCTGGAGCTGCGATACTGCAGTGATGTCAACATTGCCCACTAGCGACAACGATGACCAATTTTCTTTAAAAACTGCCAGGTCCTGAACACACGCCCGGTTGGACAGTGGGACTTTGTCAGGACAGCTCCTGAGGAACCCACCACACGCTTACGATGCCTCATCTCCTCACCAGCTCAGCGGGACCGCTCCAAGGAGCAGCCCTGCCGGGGGCCATAGCCTGGGGCTATTCTAACAGGGGCGTTGAGGGTGGGCACTGCTGGACCTCATACTTACAGACGAAGAGGCACTGGCTGGGGGGGTGCCGGGTCGGGCAGCATTTGCTGCCGGGGCGCTGCAGCGACCATGCAATGGTGGAGCTCAGTAGCCTGAGAGAGAGGAACAGGGCTAAAAGCAGGATCACAGCCCTGGACTTCAGGAGAGCAGATTTTGCCTTTTCGGGGATCTGCTTGGAAAAGTCCCCAGGGACAGGGCCCTGGAGAGCCGATTCATTTTCAGGGCTCGCCTCCTCCAGCTCCAGAACAGTCCACCCAGATACGCGGGAAGTCAAGCAAAGGCAGCAGGAGGCCTGCGTGGATGAGCCAGGAGCTCCTGACTAGACTCGGATAAAAAAAGGAAGCACACAAGAGGTGGAAGAAGAGACAGGTGACCTGGGAGGGACAGAGATGCTGTCGGAATGGGCAGGGATGGGGCTGGGAAAGCCAAAGCCCACCTGGAAATGAATCTTGAGGGACAAGAAGGGCTACAAGAAGGCTTCTAGAGGAGTATCAGTAGCAGAAGGAAGACTAGGGAGAGCGTGAGCCAGCCGCTGACTGGGGCAGAGGCTGAGGTACTTCACACCTTCTTCACCTCAGTCGTCGCTGGCGAGCTCTGTGTTCAGCGATCCCTTGCCCCTGCGACCAGAGGAAAGCCTGGAGCAAGGGAGACGTCCCTGCGGCGGAGGAGGAGCAGCTCGGGGAGCACCTGCACGGCTTGGACAGGCACAGGTCTGCAGGACCCGGTAGGACGCAGGGGGTCGCGAGGGCTGAGAGAGCCAGACGATGTCCCAGCAAGGCTGCTGCCGATTATCTCGGGAGGTCCCAAGGATGGGGAGAAAGCAAACGTCACCCCTGTCTTTGGAGCCAGGGACCCACAGGCCGGTCAGCCTCACCTCAATCCCTGGGAAGGTGATGGAGAAAATAATCTTGGAGACCCAGGAACGACAGAAGGTATCTGGGAGCAGTCAGGTGATTTACAAAGGAGAAATTGCGCATAACCACGCCGGCAGCCTTTGACAACGTAACGGCCAGCTTCGAGGCTGAGGGAGAGCCGTGGGCAATGGCTTATGGCTTTGGACACTGTCTCCCACCCCACCCTCGCAGGCGAGCAGATGAAGGACTGCGATGCCAGGGCACGGGGAGATGGCCTGAACGCTGGCTGATAGCGACCAGCTCCAAGGGCTGTGAGCGCAGCACAGAGCCCGGCCGGAGCCCCAGCACTGGCGGTGCGCCCCGGGTCGATACCGGGTGTCAGGCTACCCAGCCCCTTCACTGGTGCCTGAGGTGCCAAGGCTGTGGGGGACGCAGAGCTGGGGGGTGATGCTCTGGAGGGTCGCGCTGCCCTCGGGAGGGACTTGCCAGGCCGGAGAAGGGGCA